AAAAAAAGAATTTAAGCTCTAATACTGTTCCTTCCTTCAGATTTGTATTTTAATATTTACAATCCTTGTATCACACAGGCTAGTGTGCTTTTTCCATGTGGTATCTCACATAGATTATTTCTGGTATCTCACATAGATATTTCTGATAGCCAAGCACCATCAGAATTCTTCACCCTTGGCTATAACACCCATATTTTTCATGATCTCTTCATGGGGGCAAGTATCAAGTAGGTCCATGTCACGTTACCTTCTCTTGAAAACTTTCAAATATTCTACAAATCAAATGTAAAACATATAGTACACAATTTCAATTGTTTTGTGCTTGTCTGTCTCTCCCATTATTCTCTGAGCTCAGAAAACTGTTGATTGCCCTTTGGGAGGATGTCTTATAAGTCATTCACTCATGACTCAGGCACTGTGCCAGTGATGTAAATGTATGCATACATGCAGATTTTGTTAAGTGTTTGAAGAAAATAAACATGGTAACAAGAGACAAATAGGAATAATTTAGTTTAGATTTATGGTCAAGGAAAGCTAGGGTTTGATTATTAGGGTTTCAAACTTGAAGAATAAGGAGCCACTCATGCAAAACCTAGAGACAAAGAGTGGTCAAGAAGCTGAGCTAAGTGTCTCTCACATTAGAATGCTTAGAAAATTGTGGAGCTGAAATGACAAACTTTCTAGATAAGCATAAATAAATATTCAAGTGACTCAAGATAGCTGAAAAGGTAAGAAATATAGCCAGATTATAAGGGTTTTTACAAACCAGGAGAAGGATTTGGAGTATTAGTTTAAGATCCATGGGAAGCCATTTGCAGTCTAATGAATTGCCTTTATATGGCCTTTCTAACTATGGCCTTAAATTTTTCATAAAATGGTTGGCTGGGACTATGCAAATTGAGTGATTTATGATCCACTAAGGGGATTGTTCAGTTTGTGGTCCTTCAGGGTGAACTATGCCTTGAAACTGACAAAGAGAAGGCTTACCTGAGTAGTATGCTGATGAAGAACACCATGGACTGACAGAAGGACAAACAAATCTGTCTCAGAAGCACAGTCCTAATTCTCCATAGTGGTACACATGGAGAGACTTGGTCTCGTGTATACTGGACATGTTATCAGGATGGCTGTATCTCTAGAGAGGAGCATGATGCTTAGTAAAGTATAGGGTCAGTGGAAAAGAGGAAGACCCTCAAATGAGATGGATTGACACACACAATGATTTTGAGAATGGTGCAGGACTGGGCAGTAGTTTTGTTGCTCTTGGCATCATCTGTTTGAGTAGTATTTTTGGTGTAATACATAGCTTATATAAAGACCAATCCCACAAAGGTTCAAGGAGATCTCATTGCCATCAAGAACTAGCATCTGGAGCCAGTCAGGGTGTGATGTAGCAATGATGAGAAATACGGCTTTCCTCTAGTTCCTAAATGTTTCCTCCCCGCTCCCACTACCATGACTCGAATTCGACCTTGCAAGTCTGGCTAGACCAGAGGAGGTACACTGGTACAGATAGGAGCTGAAAATACAGGGAATCCAGGACGGATGAGCCTCATAGGACCAGTGGTGTGAGTGGCAAAACAGGGAGGGTAAAGGGAGAATGGGTAGGAAAGAGGGAACCGATTGCATGGAACTGTGTGTGACCTCCTCCCTGGGGGACAGACAACCGAAAAGTGGGTGAAGGGAGACGTCGGACAGGGCAAGGTATGAAAAAATACCCATTTATAAACTATCAAGGGCTGATGCGGGAGGGGGGAGCGGGGAGGGAGGGGAAAAATGAGGACCTAATGTCGGGGGTTTAAGTAGAGAGAAAATGTTTTGAGAAACGATGTACCAATGCGCTTTACACAATTGATGTGTGTATGGATTGGGATAACAGTTGTATGAGCCCCTAATAAAATGTTAAAAAAAAAAAAAAGAACTATAGCATCTGGAGCGGAGAGAATCCTTTGGACCAATGACCTATGCTGAGAACCTCTTAGACCCAGAAGAAAGAGTGAACTTGGAAGACAGAGCAAAATGGTGTAACAGCAGTGATGGCTTATTGACCCATGAAACGAGAACTGAGCACCTTTGGGCAGAAGACTCGCTGGTGGAGCTACAAGAGCTGTAACACAGGCTTCTACAGGGCAGAGGCCTGAGTATCCTCTGTGTATAAATTGCCTGGAAGGATCCTGTGCAAGGGTCTTCCTGTGGCAGGGTAGAGATGGATGTCTCTGGGCAGGAGACTTGCCAACACAGCTAAAAGAGCTGTAGTATCTGCCTGTGCAGGGCAGAGGCAGGCTGAGTGTGCCCTGTGAAGAGTAGAGGCTGAGCCCTGTACAGGGCTGCCCTGGAGTATTCTATGTAGGGGTTTTCTTAAAGTAGGTACAAGCCAATACCTCTGGGCAGGATGCTTGCCCATGGAGCTAACCAAGTAGTAAGATTTGATTGTGCAGGGCCCAAGTACCATGGCAGGAACTGGCAGCAGAGGTCAGCAAGGCCCCCTGACAGAATAGAAGCCTTAGGAGTCATTCAGACCTCCCAGACAATGTGATAGTACTCAGTAGCAGCAGTGATGTGAACACAGCATCTGATATTCGTTTCCCTTTTTGAGAATCCGTTGGTATTATAGTTTTCTTCTCTCCATAATGGCGCTCACTGTGCCAACACTGTGTGTCTCCCATGTCCAATTCAAAGGGATATGGAACAACCATAGGAAGGTTCATGCTAGTGCGTATACTGTCTCATTCCTACCAGTTTTATAGCTGGCTGGAAGTTTGAGGTATGACCAGTTTGCATGTGCAATACACTGAGACACATACAAACACCACTGACTAGAACTTTTGGTATAGTATAATCTGATTATTAATCTCAACTGTCAGCTATTTCATAAAGAATGGATTAGGGGAGCCATGACCCCATTAGGAGTCCATGGTAGTAAGTAGTGAACAATGATGCCTGGTCTGTTACAACCTCAGACTTTAAAGTTGCCTTTACTCTTTGTGCATTTGGTTCTCTATATAGAAACTCAGAAAATTTTTCCTTTTGTAGAAGGAAATTACAAATTCCACAAACTCCCATTTAGTTTAGCATAGCTTTCCTTCCTTTACCTGCTGTCTTTATAGCTAATAACTCAAACACAAGTGGGTAAGGTTTTACTTCCTCCCAGGCTAAATGTCCAAATCAAGGTCTCAGCCATATTTGAGCCTTCCTTTTCAGTGGACCCACACAGTCTTTGGTTTATAGATGATTCCCACACGGAGCCTGCCTTTCCCCATATGTTTGTCTGTGCCTGTTCTGGTCTTTTTATAGCTCAGAAGTGCTATGGTTTAAGACCCACACTAAACCTTCATAACAAAGGAAAACCTTCCTAGGTACAAGCCAGGAATCCAGCTCATATTTGGGGGCGAGGCCATAATCCATTTTCCATCACCTGTCTTCATATTAAATACTACAGTCTTGGAAACCCAGGATGGCAGTTCTATCCGGTCCTCTAGGGTTGCTGTATATAATCAGAATCTACTCGGTGGCAGTGAGTGAATGAGCCATGTCAGACTATTAAATCCCTCATTTTTGATACTTTCTTCCTCCAGCTACTGAAATGTTACTATTCTTTTGTGATCAATTTAGATAATCTTTTTATGTAATCTCAGGAGCCCTTGAAAAACAGCAGGCTATGTGTTAGTTTGAACCCATTAGCTACTCCTCTGGAAAGATGTGGTTGTCTGACCTATAAAGGGTTTCAGCCTTGGAAACCCAAAGCAGCAGTTCTACTGTCCTATTGGGCCACTATGAATCACAATCTACTCAATGGCGGTGAATTTTGAGTAGATATCATCTCAAGATACTAAATGGCTTTAGGGGTCCAGAATACATTCGACTAACTTCTATACTGCCTTCTAAAGTTTTAAAGTGAAATTGGAATAAAAGCATAAACAGAAGCTTAAAAACCATTAAAAGTATTCAAAAATGTTATCTTTGAAACCTTAATAAACCCATATTCTCAAACTTCCTTTAACATTAATCTAAGAAACTTTCAGATTGAGGGATCGTGGTATTTCTAAATGAGATTCCCTGTTGTTTGGTTCATTTCTTTAAGATGGCCAACTAAATTCCTCTTACCCAAGGAATTTGGGGTTCGTCTCCAGTTTACTCCTCTAAGAAAGCTTCTCTATCTTGTAAAAAGCCTTCTTCTACAATAAAGCTCAAAGATTTAAAAAGAAACCTTCGCATGCATTTTTTTAGATTCCTATAACTTTACAAAATTATCAATAAGAGCTATTTCTCATCCCTTTTTATCGATGGGAAAAGGGGGTGGAGGACTAAGAAATTGCGGTTTCATCGCAACATTCGTACAATCCTGCGATTCCTGTAGCTGCCTAGAGGTTCCTTTCGTCTACTCTACTGGGATCATTAGAAAAGTCGATCCCTTCCCTTGAGCTCATTTAATGGAGGGAAATTCAATCTGATCATAATAGGGAACGAGGAAAGGGGTGGGCTGAAGATTCAAGAGTTAAAAAACCAACGGAGAAACAACTTTAGTTTTTAGACATGTGCACCCTTCGAGTGCCTAAGGTTGTGTATTTCAAATCTACCCCGTCCTAACTATTAATCAGGAAGTTGTTAAAATGACCGGAAGGTTTTCCGTGGAAGAGCCGGGTTTATGGTCCCCCAATTCCTACCTCAAGATTTTCGTTCCTACCCGCTCTGCCGGCGGGGACCGTGGAAGAAAGGAATGAACAGTTAGCCAATCCCCGAACTGCACGCTCAGTGGCCAGAAACGGCCGCCGCCGGAAGCCGCCGGATCCCGAGCACCGCAGCAAGCAGGGCCGAGTCACGTGCCCCCAAGATGGCTGCGCCCGCGCCCGCGCCCGCGCGTCCTGGCTTGCCCTGAGCGCCCTGGCGAAGCTGAGACGAACCGGGCGAGGCACGGGCGCCCGAGGAAAGACGAGCGCAAGGTCCTGGCATCCCGCGCACACGGGTGCAGTCGACGGCCGGGACCCGAGGAGGCGGTGAGGGAAGCAGGGGAGTGACGCTAAAGGGCTGTTCTCGGTTCACTGTCCATCCCTGGGAGGAAAGACCCCATGAATTAATCTAATTCAGCGCGAAAAGAGCCGGCGGCTGAACCTGAATATCACGTTTACTGTTCATTTACGTAGGGACCTTAGCTAAAATTTCCCAGGCCTCACTTCGCACGTGGCCTATTTCTCTATACCAGTAGCCCTAGCGGCGCGGTCTCGGAAGTGTTGGACTCATAACTTCAAGGTCAGTGGTTCAAATCCACCAGCTTCTCTGGGGGACAGGCTGCTGGATAGCAGTGGTCTTTATCTCTGTCTACATTGCATATACCTTGGTGCTCCCCCCAAAACGACGTGAGAGAGCTAATGCAAAAGCCTTTCGAGATATTTGTCAGCGATTAAAGGACCATATCACTGATAGGGATTTATTACCAATAACTCGGACAAAATACCACACGGGGACTTCCTGATCAGGACTTTTGCCGAATTAAGGGAGGTCCACAGAAATGAGCCCTGGTTTAGGTGGAGAGCAAATGTTTTGAGAATGATGAGGGCAATGAATGTACAAATGTGCTTGACACAATTGGTGTATGTGTGGATTGCGCTAAGAGTTGTATGAGCCCCTAATAAAATGAAATTAAAAATAATAATGTAGAAAAAGAAATGAGCCCTGGTGGGCATAATGATTATGCGTTGGTCGGCTAATCCAGTTTGGTACCAAGAGCAGCTCTACCACGGGGGAAACATTACTGCAACTTGTCTCACTGACACTGAGTGGGTTACAAGTCTTGAGTGGCCCACAGGCCAGAGCAGAACTGGCCTGTGGGTTTCTGAGACTGCGTATTTTTAGGGTAGTAGAGAGCCTCTTTCTCCCGCGGAGCAGCTGGCGGTTTCTATCTACACACCTGCCACGGGGCTCCTCCTTAGTATAACCAAGACCCTCAACATACTTAGTTTAAATTTCTAGAACCTAACTGCCTAAGTCAGCCTTCCACTCCCATTAATTTTAAGTCCAGGGATATGAAATGTTTGTGTTGCAAATTAATCTCGGAGTAAATGATGGTGAACCAAGAAAACCCGGTATCATAAAGCCGTGTTATGAAGTTTTCCGTGAAAAGTTAAGAGATTTTTGCGTTTCTTAACTCTGCTAATCTAATTGGAGAGCTAAATCTTCAGCCTAAAACTCACCATTCTTTCGCTACTCTGACATTGTCCCTAACAGCGCATTAAACTACTGTTGTCCCTGAATCAGATGCAGCCTGTGATTTTTTTTTTTTTTTGGTAAGGCCATCCAGCTAAAAATGGTTATCTTTCTAAAGGGTAGTTTAAGTGAGAAAAAAAAAAAAAGGCTTGGCAAAACTATATATACGTGGGAGGACTTCAAAAACTTTGGGTAAAAAGGGAATAGAACCATAATGGAATTTTTCCATGAACATTTTCAGACCCTCTCATTATAAATTGCCCTCTACCTGGAACCTTTTTTTTTTTTTAACAAAGGTTAAAAAAGGTGTATCGTTTTGTTAGGGGCTCATACAACTCTTATCACAATCCATGCATACATCAATTGTGTAA